AGTAAACAGCAGAAGAATGGCCACGGCAGGGGGATGCGGAAAGTGGGAAAGCTGGCGGGAAAATGGCAAGCAATAAAAATAATTGCAAAATTCGAAATTTAAGTGTAGACGCCGTGTGTGCCTGTGTGTGTGGCTGTGTGAGACACGTTTAAAGCCCCGCTGTGTCTCCACTTAGTCACTCGCAGCCGCAGCACCCCCTCACACCACAGAATCCAGTGTCATGGCTTCCCTGCAGATCCTCTCTGCCCTATCCTACTTCTCCCCCTCTCACGCTGCACAAACAATGGCCAAAAACGAGGCGAATGCTCAACGCAGTGTAAAATCAGCGAATCGCGGTTTCTTTTTTATGTACCCTGTACTTTTTGGCGTGCTGGGGTGTATTGCTTTTGTGGATATGTATGTAGAAGATGTTTTGCAAGTAGCTAAGAAAAGGATGTGGGGAGACCACAATGACGAGAAGGTTTCGGAGTCGTCAATGGCTGCCATCACAACCGGCAGCCAGCAGAGCCTTAAATTATTTGAAGGTCCAACTAAATGAGAGAGTCATTTTGCTCGCTCTTTCCGTCTCTGCTCTCTTGCTTCAGGTACGAGCTTCCCACGCACTCTCTCTCTCTCTCTTTCTCTCAATTCTTTCTTTCCATTGCTCTTTCAGCAACAACAACGCAGCATTCAAGAAAACGAACGGGATCTCTTGTTTGGTTGCTTTTGCTTAGGTTTCTCGTGTCTTTATTTGCCGTTTCGTTTGGCGGTACCCCCAAAGTACTGAGTACTTTTACCGTCGCAATATCAGTATTTGCTCCACCAGTTATCTCCTCCCTGGTGAATCTGTGTCTGCTGTGTGTGTGAGTGTTTTACAATCTGTTTCGCAACTCACGTAAAATATAAGGTAATTTGTGGAAATTTGATGTTTATCGTAAATTGTTTTTTATTTGCACAATGTCACCATTTTGCGGTTTGCCAGCAGCGGCACACTCGCACACACAGAGGCACACAAACGCCCAGCCACAAACAGGCACAGACACACGCACACCTCAGCTGGTCAGAATTGTCAGGAAGCCAACAAGCAATAAAAAAAAAATTACTTAAAAATTAAAGATGAATCGAATGGTTAAATACTCTCCATTTTTATAGATTTATCTGAAGTCACTTATGGTATGATTTTTCCAATGTCTAATGGGTGCTCCATGGGACATCCATAAGATAATAAAGTTAAACAGAAAACAATCATTGAATCAGCTCCATCAAACAAAAACTGACACAAAATGCCAAAGCGATCGAAGAACCTGCGTACCGGCGCATATCGGAAGAGCATTTCACTTTAAATCCTTTGACAATTTCTCATCCGTTCGTATATGCAAAATATAAATACCCAGTTGCAAAGAGTACACACATTTTTTTCATTCCCCCCCCCCCCCTGACTTAATTGTGCGCCAGTAAAGAGACACTGCCATTGCCACTGCCATAGCCGCAGCCGACAAAAAAAGTTTTGGTAAAAACAATTGCAAACATTTTTCAATTTACCTGCATGGCAGCGGCTGCCATGGCCCGCTTCTTCTTGATGCCTGACGATTTTGTTGATCCTTTCGTTGGTTTTGCCTTTGCGGCTGCTTTCGATGGAATTTCACGCATGCCACAATACCATAGATAGAATACCCATAATAAAGCGAAGCACGGTACGAGTGCCAATATGATCCACACGATACAACACCACATTTTAATATCAGTTGAGATGAACAATTCGATTTCCAGAATTTTGTCCGACTATATTTTGACAAAAATTAATGTAATCAAATTAAGGTTTGACAAGTTTCTCGATGGTTTTTTTTAAATTTTACTTTATTTATCGTATTTTTCGGTTGTTGCTGTTTTACACATTGTATAATATCGTATCGTGAATCCTTTACTTGCTAAGTTTTTTAGAGCTAACAATTAGTTGTATTTTCTTTGGTTTTTTTTCTTTTTGCCTGGCGTTCTGTGAACATAAGACTATTCAATGCCAAAGAACAATCGTTTCGAATAGTTTACAATCGTATCTCAGAGCGAGAACTATCAATTCGTTATAAATGGACAGTTAAACATAGTTTGAAGACTTACGCTAAGGTTAACTTTAGTTTAAAGACTAGTTTTGATCTTTTTTTGTTTCGGACTACAAATATTTGTGGGCCTTTCTAGCTGGTATGTTGGTCTGGTCGGTGAGAACTTTAGAGATGCTGCAAAAGTTAGGGAATTCTTTGCTTTCATGCATGAAAATATTCTTCTTAAGTAATGGGTTTTCGTTTATGTATAATACAAAGCCTTGATGGTGGTTTGTCCTCAGGGAACTTGGGATTGGTGGGAGTTTGAAATGCCATGTTTTGTTTTTAAAGATTTCTTTATTTATATGCGATACCAGACCAACAGACACACTCTCCGCGAAATCCAGCGCTTAATTCTATGACTTTTCCATAAATGTTTTATGACATTTTCTATAGATTTTATTTTGGAATTAAATTATGAATTAAATATTTTTCTTTGGTTTTGTTTTGTTGGTTGGTTTGTATGTACAATGCCCTTAGAAGTTAATTATGCATTTAAAATTGTTCCTATTTCTATGGGGAGATTGGAAATGGTTAAATATGCGCAACATTCATTTATAATTTAATTGAATTTTGTTAACTAAATTTCTATGCATAATTTGTTGCGCAAAATATATAACCCACCAAAAGAATAAATTCCTTTGGTTTTTGGTAGCTTGAAGCATAAATGCTTCAATTAGGGGAATTTATTATTTTGAATATTTCATAACAAAGTTGTGAACGAGCTTACGGATTAAAGATACAATATATTTCCTGTTTATTCGGTGCAGTATTTTGCTACATCACTGAGTGCCAAAAAGGAGTGGGGGCAGTGTTGCATTCAATATTTCAAATGGAAAACAACAACAAGAAATGTTTCTACAACCCATTTTGATGGCCTAAGGGTTGAGTTTTTTTTGTATTGTTCATTTAGGAAATAGCGAAGTGCAGGTATGCGACCCAATCAATATTTATTAAATTTTCAACTTGTGCTGAACAATTTATCTCAGTAATCATTTTTCATGTAAAAAAACACAACTCAGTATATTCCAACATTTTAGGAGAATTTTACAAAATAATTCTTTCACTTTCTGGCAGCTTAACATTTAAATTGAATTTCATTTTGTGTGTTTCTCTTGATTATTCCATTTATCATTTTTTTGTGTGTTTAGCTTTTAGTTGTTTTTATGTTACGTTTTTGCTATTTTAATTTTAGTTTTCTGTTGTTGTGGTTTTTAACTGTTCCGTCGTGCCTGTCTGTGTATTTATACTGTATTTTATTTGGTAATACTAGAATTTAAATGCAACTCTCCTTTGGACTTCCTTTTGACTGCCAGCTTAATGTTTCAACTTCTAGTTGCAACATTTTAATAAACTGCAACCAGTGCAGCAACCCTATTTACACATTTTCGCAGAGTAAAGCCCTGCTACTAAACGACGCCACTATTTTTAGTCCAATACTTATTCCTATTCGTATCGTAAAAAAAGTGAAAAAGAATAAAATATTCTTTGGATTTATGTGGGGGAAAAATGTAAGCTGCAGCCGATAGCAATTCAAAATGAATTGAAATTTATGTACTGTGATTTTGTCATTGAACTCAGATTGAGAGTCGATCCGCACTGTGGCACTGCTGATTTTGTGAGTGGCGCTGAGGGCTTTGTCCATTGGCAAATTAATTTGCAAATTTACACAATCTAATTTTACACCCGAGAAGGAAGAGAGGCCAGGTCGCCGAGGGAACATGCGGCCAATTGTTAATTTGTAATTACAATTTTTGCATTATTGTAAACGTTGACAATGGAGAACAATTGAAATTAGCAGCGCAATTAGTCGATCCGTGCAAACAAATATTCGTTTTCCAATTTAATGCCCCAATAGAGACAAAAGCTAATGAGAAGCGCCGAGAGCTGCAGCGCACCAGCGCATAAAACTCTACTTTTTCATCCTCTGTCTGTTCCACGAAATTTTCCCTTTGGACAGAGTTTGATTTTCTATATTTTCCCCTCTACTCTATTTTTTTTGGGTGTTGAAAAATCAATTAAATGCACATTTTGTCTCTTTATTTGATTTAAACCTACGCAACCAAAATTTCCATATTTTCCACAAAAACACAAAACAGAAAAAACAAATGCAAGAGGAAAACCTCAAAAGGTGGCTTTTCTGTTTGGCTGTGTTTTGGTTGAAACAATGGGACCAAAATAACAATTTCACCAGAATATTATGGGTGTTGTTATTGAGCTTTTGTGTCTCTTCTTACACGCCCCGTGATAGACCTCAATAGTTTGGCCACAGGCTCGAAATAAAATGCTCTGTCAATAAAATAGCCAAAAAATTATTGTTATAAATGCCGAAAATCTGATTGGCAGTCGTGGCGGCACTAACAAATAAGGATTATTTTTGCTTTGTGGTTTAATTTTACTGCAGTTTTATTGCAGTGTGTTTGGTATATTTGTTTGGTATGTTGTGTAGTAGTTTTTTTTGTATATTTTGTGGTACTTTGCTCGTACAAATATTAAATAAAAGCCGAAACAGACCAGAAATCGAACTTGACAAATTCTTCTTTGGAAATGGAACTTAAAAATTAATAATGGAAAACTTTGTAGTTCTAATTCAAGTTAAATAGTAGTTTTCTTAGCATACTTGTAGTATCTTGTGTGGTATTTTCTGTGTGTTTTAATTTTTTTTTACATTTAGCATACGTTTCCTGTTTTCCTTATGTTTTTGGTCGAAATAGGCGCATTTTCTTGCCATTCTTTTTTATTTGTGTAGAGCTTTTTCTGTTTCTGCTTTTGTTGGCAAATTTCACGCCACTTAAACAACTAAAAATTCAAATTGTTTTAATCTTTTTTTTTGTGTGTGGTAAACTTACTTAAATGCTAATGTCAAAATGTTGCTCTGTTGTTGCTGTTTGTTTTTTTTGTTGCTCTCTTGCCGCTCTGCTGCTCTGCTGCTCTGTGGTTGTTGTCTCTCCTTAACTGGCAATTAGTTTAATTTGCCAAATCCTGTATTATATCCGCTGCAACGAAACGAACATCGATTTGTGTGTGTTATGTTTAGTGCGATATTTAAGCTCATTAATAAATAATGTTTTTTTGAATATGCAATTTAAATTAATTAATGGAGTTTGATGAGAGGCCGCGCCGCTCCCGCCTGTCTGCCTCCATCTCCCAGTTAAGCCATTAATTTGTATGAGCAAAAAAAAATACAAGAGTATTATGCATTATAATATCCACCCATGCCCCCACTGGTTATTATTTGGATTGGGGTCAGTCGCTTGTTTGACTTTGAATGGAAAAGAAGCGGCAAGAAGAAAAAAAAATAATAAAAAACTATATATTGAAATTTTATATTTATAAATAAAATCATTTTTGTTTGTGCCGCTCCAAATGTATTTGCATTCAATCAGCATAATGCTCCAGCACTCAATGGTGGGATTTTTGATATCCCATCTATCTGCATTTAGAGCCCATCCATAACCTATACGAGTATTTTTTTTATTTCGGATTTGGTGTGATTTGAAGCGTGTGTGGATCTGCTGCTGCTGCTGCTGCTGCTGACTTTTCTATCGATGGGAAAAACTGAATTCAAATGCCAAAACACTTCACACACACACACACACCACCACTTGTAGCCCTGTATACGTAGTATACGAAGTATGAAACTGCCACCATATTCTGCTCCTGTCTCTATACAACACCTCACTGACACCTCTCCTTCCACGCACGCACACCTTTGCGCTGATTTGGAGGCAACACTTTATGCACTTTGACTTGTGCCTCTCGTTCGCCTCTCACTCTCGCTGACAACTGCAACTTTTGCATAAATACATTTTCCTGCATTTTCCACAGATACAGTCAGTCACCTCTGCTCTCCCCGCTCGCACACCCCTTTCAAGTCAAGTGGAAGTGGAAAGTCTGGCACAATAAAATACTTTTCTGATTCGTTTTCCTGATGCACAAGCACAGATTTTATCTGCGTTGCCGCAGAGTTTTGTTTGGTTTTTAGCCAAATGCATTTGCAGCTAAGCTTTTCCTCTGATTTCTGTCTCTTTGCCGGAGTTTTTCCCCTCCCAAACCCCCAACCACAACCAACTCAAACAGTTTTCGCTTGGAAAACTCAATTAACGCTTTGCTTTGCTGCTGCTGTTTATACCCCGGTAATTTGTGGAGTGTTTTTAGGGTCGATTGGGTTCTAGGAAAGATGAACGACAGAGCAAGTGCTTTTTGCTTAGAAATTGATGAAGAGTTTATACCGGTGATGCACATAGAAATATGCTTTTATGATTTCTTGGTTAATGCAGATCGTTTTATCATAGATAAATTTTCCTTTGCTTAGTTTTAAATTTTTCTGAGTTTTTATTGTCCATTATTATTTGAATTTGAAAATGTTTTGCATATTATTTAGAAATAGTGTTTTCTACACTACCCTGAGGTAGTTTTCTTGTACGTGTATTTCCATCTTCAGTATTTCTCCGGTTTTTTTTTTAGTAGCCTGCGCTATTTTTCAGTATTTTTTGTATTATCTTTGCAGTATCTTAGAACACAGGGTAGCAGCTGTAGTCTCTAGCCACTAACTAGAGTGGACTCCATCCTACATTTTTATTTTCTTTTCAAGCGTGGGGAGTGTGTGAAAGCGTGGGGTAGTGGTAGGGGCAGTGGGGAGGGACATCAAGAACCGCACAGCAGCAGCACAAAATGTGACATGGTCGTTTGAGCTTTATGCCAACTTTCGTTCGTTCGTTTGTTGGCTCGCTTGCTCTTTCGTTCGTTCGTTCGTTGGTCGGTGGTCGCTTGTTGTTATGTTTTATTACCTAATAAACATTTTATGGGGGGCAGGGATGGTTAGGGCGGGAGCTCCTGGTCAAAGCAGAAATACAGACAGACAAGCTACAGCCAAATTGGTAAATTATTTGAAAATATGCATTACACAGCCCACCCTTTGCCTCCTGTGCTGCTCCTCCTCCTGCTCTGCCCACCCTTTCAACCGACCACCACCACTCGACATACAGGACATCCACATTTTCCTTCCGCTTTTCACAGCCATTTTCAAACCATTTTCCCTGTGCCATGCAATTAACAAGCTGCAAAACGGCTCCAATGGGCTGGCAATGAGTTTTTCCGACAAGCTTTTTTTATTTTCCCCTCTCTTTTTGTATTTTGGGCTGGCAAAAGAGTTGATTAACTATTGAATGGAGGGGAGAGTCGAGATTCATAAATTACATGCAGACTCCGCTGAGAGCCTTTACACAAAGTGCAGCTTTTGAGGGTAAAACTTTTCTTACTGGGTCAATGTTCAATTAATGTTGAATGTTTTTAATGTTTAAAATGATTACAATTCGATGAAAGGAAAGAAATGTGTTTACATTTAAATGTATTTAAAGCCATTAAGCTCATACAAATGCGCTAGTAATCACCTTTAATTACAAACTAATATTAATAATGACTCTAATGTAAATTTGTTTTGCTTTGTAACTTTTCAGCTAAAATCCCGATAATCCATTTGATGCATTTTAATGATTGGTAAGTGGAGTTAAAATTTACCATTACTTTAATCTCTCAAAATTCTACGTTAATCCGAAACAAATTTGAAATATATTTTATGTGAATTTGTTGCTTTAAAGAGTATCTGAGTTGTATCGTGTTTGGTTCGCTCTGGAGTTCTGCGATTCACCATAAACGTTGACCCTCCGTCGCCGCTGCACCTTTTGCCGCACACCTTTACCCTTCCTCTTAGTCGCCTGCTTGCTGTACCCTTACTCTCTTCCACTTTTCACCGTACTGTTTCCTCTTCGTGCTGCCACCTTCTGTTCACCTCATCGTCAGCTGATAGTCGGTATGGCTTTTGTTGGCTCATAAAACATGCCGCAGCAAGGTGTTGCCTGTGTGTGTCTGGGTTGCCTGTCTTTTGCCCCGATCCTCGGCACACCGTAACCCCCCCTCTCTTTTCCACCGCTTGCCTGCACCTAACCCTGGTCTCTCTCTCGCTCTCTCCTTCTCTCTCTCTCTCTTGCTGTCTCACTTGCTCTTGCTGCCTTTTGTGTGGCGCGCTCTTGTATTTATGCCTATGAATATTTCATTTAATTGAAGCGCATTCATTACCAACCACACAACAGCCTCCGGCCCCGCTTCGCGCCCCCTTGCCGTGCCATGACCCATCCTTTTGGAGGAAGTATCTCTGGCATGGAGTCACCTACCTACCCCCTGGCCCCACGATACGGCCGCACTTTTGGCGTTGTAATTAAAATAAATTTATTACGTAAAATGTTTTGCCAAAAAATTTGTCGAAAGCTGTGGCCAGGGCGCCCCATGGCGGCATAATAAATAATGTTGAAGGTGTACTACGTACGTGTGCAGCTGTGTGTGTGTGTCCTTGGCTGTGTGTGTGGGTGTGTGTGTTTCAGAGTCTACCCTGGGCTGTGCATCCCAGCTGAATGTATGTTTAATGATCTGTGTACATTGTAGTCCTGTGTTTGTGTTTGTTTTTCGACTTCCCCACGGAAATTGATGCGGTTAATATGCTTCCAATTGTTAATTTTTGCATTTCGTTCGTACTCTTCCCCCACAAAACGCCACAAAATCATTGGAGGGCGGGGAAGCAGAAAAACACACACAAAAACCGAGCAGAAAAACGCTCGGAAATCTAATCAACGGGAATAACACGAGCCAAAACGAGAGCAACCAACCCAACAAAAGTTTTAATGGATAACTGAACCATATTTACGATTGCCAAAAAAAGGAATTAAATTAAATTTAAACGATTTATCACTGTGGGGATTGTTGGATTTATTTTGATTTTGTTGGAAATTAATAATCTTCTTATCTTTTTTTTGCAGAGTATTCCGCAAAAGTTTATCCGATATTTATTTTGTTTGTTTGCATATTTTTCAAAGTTAATTTCTCTGCATTTTGGTGACAAATAGTTCCACGAAGAGTTCTTCGAATTAATCTTTGGATCTCTTTACATTCCTTTTCAAAAGTCCCAGGAGTTCCCAAAAATTCCCATAAATTACCCAAAAATGTACCAGAAAATGATTTCAAGAACAACTGCATGCCAATGCCAATGGCACTCGGACTCGGATTCTGTTGCAATTCAATCCAGCGAATAGAGTGAGGAAACGCGCTTCGTGATTTGTATTGGTCCTCCATTTGTGGGAAAAACCCACAGCACCCCCCAGACCACTCCTGCACACAAATCGGCAATTGAATTGCGAAAATCGTAGAGAACTCAAAAGCATTGCATACTGAAACAATTTTTGGGGGCATGGCATGGAAACACAACAGCGAAAAATACTATTGTGTTGCTTGCTTTTCCATTTGCTTTCTACGTTTGCTTCTATGGTCATCAAAGTCGAACAGTGGGAGATACAGAGACAGCGATAGAGGGAGAGAAACAGAAAGGGTTAACAAGATTCCTCGGCTGTTGTTTCTGTTGCTGGTTTTTATTGCTTTAAACTGGCCCTCGAATGGGGCCACTCCTCCACTCCACTCCACTCCACTCCACTTACTGCACAAATGGAAGAAGGTACTGCTGAAGAGGTTCAAGCAGGGAGAGTGGCAGAAGGCGAAAAGCAAAGACGGTAACAGCATAAAAGCCAAACTGAAGCCTGGAAGGAGTCTTCTCTTAGTCGTCTTCATCTAAAGGCATCAACTGACACTCTTCCATCTTTTACTTGTTCCTTTTTTTTCTCTCGATTTTTTGGTTGCATTTTTGTTGCTCTTTCGATCGAAGGAGTATTTAAACTTTGATATTTTGTGTGTATCTGGACCGAGGATATACGATTCGATTATTTATCGATAAATGCGTTCTTAAAGCGATTAAGATGTATTATTTTCGATGTATTATTGAGAAGAAAGATTCCCCATCGGTTAATATCTTGTATCTATTGTTATGTTTATCAATCGAATAATTATCAATAAATTATTTTTACCATAGATTTTACTTAAATTTTCCTCTCTTGCTGTAATTATTATTTTTTAAACCCTTTTGCAGAACTTCCTTTCCAACTTCCACTCAACTCACTGCCTCTCCTTGCTATTGCCCTGTTTTTCTCCTTGTCTTGAGTTGGCATATTTTCATAGTCCCGCTTGGCCTACTGTCTTCCGGGTCTTCCTTTTGGTTCGTTGCTTTGTGGCCAAAAATGCGGCACACGACTGCTGCAGAGACAGAGAGTCGAGTCCTTCGTGTGCGAGTCTTTGGCCATGGCTTTTGTTTTAATTGAAATGTTTTCGGTGCTCCTTGCAGTTCTTGCAGCTGGTCATGCAGTAGCAGCTTCTCCTTTAAGCCGATTAGAAGCAGTTCATAATGTATACGGCTAAATATGAAAGAGCTCTTGTCCCCCCACTGCCTCCGCTGTCCGGGAAAACAATTGTTTTGGGGTCCATTCTGAGGAGAGACCGCAGTGGTTTGTCCTCCCCTTCTGGCTCTCTCTCTCTCGCTGACTGTCTAATTGAAGGAGCATTTAGAAGATATCACGGACAACAGAACCAGTTACAGAAGGGAAATCTTATGCATAACTAGAAAAAATCAGGTATACGTGCCGTGACCCGTGCGCATACTGAAAAAAAAACACAAGCTAGATGGAGCAAAATGCAGTGGCAGTGGCATTAAAAGCAGTAGCATTCGCATTCGCATTCGCATTTGCAATCCTTTTTATGCATTCCATGTGGCATTTGCACCCCCACACAGGGACAATGGGGAGAACCAATCAATTCCTGAGGTAAAACCACGTGGGCTTTGATGTTCGTTCTCTGTGGTTTTTGCAGCATTGCAATGAATAGTTGATGGAAATTAAACAGAGCCAGCGAATGGCATATATTTAAGTAGATTTTGATGAAAAACATCGAATTATCAATACAATTTAATGTTAATTATGGAATTTGATGAATTTTAATACGTTTTGTCATCAATAGATGAAATGAATATTATTCAAAAATGACTCCAAAGAGTACCATACATTTTTCATTATATTCCATGTAGTTTCGGGTACTGATAAGACATTTTATATAGATTATTATTCGGTAGATAAATGTTATAAGTATTTCTTGCAGTAAAAAAGTTTTTTCATCGCTAAGTTATACGTTTTGAATGAGTAATAATCGATATCTGATCCATAAACAAGTTTAAATGTCACCTATTTATTGATAAACAAGTTAAATCAGCCTCTTCTTATCTTACTGTTTGTATCCTTTTAAGGGCTTATTTATACCAAGTCCTCACCACTGTCTTGCCTCTGCCTCTGTCTCCACTTAAATCTCCTTTAATACCACTGATGCTGTAGTACTGCTTTTCTCCCAGTCTCTCCACATATGTGTGGTGTGTGTGTGTGTGTTTGTGTGTTTATGTTTGTATCTCTGTATTGTGTGGGTGCATGTGTTCGGTTTCTCTTCAGTGATTCACTTCACTTACAGCTGGCAGCGTTGTTTGATTTTGATTTTGTAAAATATTTTCTGCTCTTGCATTTTACATTTTTAATAGCGCTCGCACTCGCACTCGCACTCGCTCTACCTATAGCCTACTCTCTCTCTCTCTTGCATTTTGCATAGTTTATTTTTGGTATTTTTGCAGTATTTTTACTCCTTTTTCGTTGGTGTTTTTCGTTGGAGTGAGGCAGGCAGGAGTCTGCGATAGTTGTCGCTGCAAGCTATTTGTTGTTTTTGATAGATGCGAAGAGAAGGAGCCGCATACCCTGGAATAAGTGAGTGGGGGCGGTAACGGGCTGTCCTAGAGCTGACTATTTTATGTGCATTTATCCTGCATCCTGCTGCTGCTGCTCCTGCTGTTGTACAGCTGCATAAAAGAATATACAGATGCAAATTCTATATGTGAGTGTGGGGGGGAGCTTTGGCATGGCGTGTCCTTGCCTGCCATTGTCCTGATAGTGAGGAAATTCTATTTTATTTATCTGGCAAGGCATCAGCTTGAAGCGGCAGGCAGAATGCAGTACCAGCACCAGCACCACCAGCAAACTCCTATCCAAACATTTCCCCAACACTTAAGTGCATAATCAATCAAACTGATTTCTTAGTCTGCTCAACCGATTTGGATAAGGATTGAGGAATGCTTGTTGCTTTGGTATTTGATATAAATAATGATTATTGTTACAAAAAACGGTCAGTACTTGGCAATGGAATGAAATATCTACATATGTATATCGAGTTCTTTTTGCTGCTTTGAGTTCAAGTTTTGGCAAGAATTTATATCTGGGAAGATTTGCATTTATTTTTGAACAATTTTTCATAAATCAAATATTCATAAATTGTTATATTTTCGTTCTTTACGTCTTAGATGTGAAATTTTTCATCTTTATTTTCAACATTTCGATTAAAAATCGATTGTTTTTCTGAAGTATTCCCGATTTTCGATATATGCTGATACTTTTCTTGCGTTAGAGCTAGGTAAGCGAATTTCAAGGACTGAAACTATATTTATTTAATATTTTCCATTAAGATCCAAAAAAAATTTAAAAAAAAATGTTAAAAGAGATTATCGATTTATTTCGATTTTCTGATGTTTTCAAACTAAAAATATATTATAAATCTCCAGAAATCGAAGTGCCTCAACACTTACCTAATTGCTGCTGTTGCGGCTTCTGTTGCTGTTGTTGTTGTTGCTGCAGATCCTTTCGCATCGGTGGCAGTGGGGGCTGTTTTCCCGATTTTCTCAGTGTGCCGTAACGCTGGGCCGCCTGCAGCATTTCGTGCGGTGCCAGTGGCTGCGTGCCAGAAGCACCCGCTCCACCACCACCAGTCGACTGTCCGAAATTCTGTTGACTCAGCGAGCTGGTGACGGTTTGAATGTGCGGCGGATAGCCGCTGTAATCCACCAAACCGCTGAACGCCGATGGCGGTCGCTCCACATAGATTTGCTGGGATTGAGCGGCAGCCAATTGGAGCCGCCACAGAGCCTCCTGCGACAGATCCCTGGCATTACTGTAGTTGTTCTCATTCGAATTGTTGCTCGACCCTGGAACAATTAGCAATGTTTTTGGGTGTTTAATTAAGGCTGTTGTTGGCCAGGAGGACCTTTTATATTTATATTTAGTTGTGCAGCGAAAAAAAGGTGCTGAGTGCGTGTTAAAGTGCTGGCGGCATTGAAGAGGAAACTTGAAAGTCACATGGGTTAATTGGAAAACACTAACACACAGACTAACACGGAACACCTCCCATAGGTATGGCCAAGTCATGCTCATCAGAAACATACACTCTGATGGATTTTCTACTGCCATTTTGCTTGCATAATTAAAGAGAGGGTTAAAGATTTAAGCCAAGAAGCAATGCCAGGAAAACCCAAGGAAACTCCCTCGAAAACTCATCCTTAAACATGAACCATAAGAATCGGTGGCGCTCCAGTAACTTTATTTCCTTTACGAATATTTAAGCGCAACCGAAAGAGATCACCATCCCTTTGGCTGTGTGACGAGGCTACGCTTCGATGGGGCATGATTTTTCGCACATTTATCAAGATTATTACTTTTCTGAAAGACTATCTGAAAAATATGTTAGATGCTCCTGGGGGATACAATTTCCAAATTTTTGTTACAGAGGTTTTTTCTTGCAATTTCAGATAACGAACCACAGAAAGAACTGAAAGATCAGAAAGTGAATGAATGAAAATTAGGTAAATTATTATGAACTGAATGTATGAAATAAAAGAAGATTCTGATTGAATGAAATGAATAGTATGATGTGAAACAACAGAAAATATTTAGTCTAGGCTATGAAAAGATAAAAAAGTTGATTCCAATAGACAGTCTAGCATAGATAACACCTAGAGTGGGCAACAAACCCGCTCTAACTTGATGTAAAAATCACAAAAATTCATAAAGGAGAACAGAGCGTGGAAATTTGACAGCCAAGAGACTTTATCATTAAGCGGAAAATACTCCCAAAGTGGTTTCCCCCATCTTTCACCCAAATTTGTCGTGGCATCATTTTCCGCTGCGTTAAAGAACACCACAAATTCCACCATAAATTCGTTTACAACTTTAGTACCTTCAGCCAACCCACAGCCCCACCCTGCCAAACATTTATAAAAACATTTGTGTGCAACAATTAGTGACAAAAAAGGAACATCAACAAGAGAGTGGTGCATGGTGACTGGTGCATGGGTGCAGATGCAGATACAAAAAAAGAAACAAAACTAAACACTTTGCTTGGGTGCTCTAAATTTTGTGGAGAGTGCAACGGCAACATTTGATGGTGTACAGTGGAGTCTCGCTCGCTCCCCTTGGCTGTGGTGCAGCAAGTTTAAGTGTCTCTTCCTCCTCGACTCCAACGATGATGGGGGCGGGACGTGGGTGTTACCTGTGATGGCCAGCGTTGTAGTTGTTGTTGCGGTTTTGGCATTACGTGATGTTGTTGTAATGGTGGTTGCCAGAGCTGTGGTTGTTGCCGCCGTGGCTGCGGTCAGCATGGCCGCTCGCTCCCTCTCTATCCTATCCTTTCCGCTTCCCAGATGGTTCTTCCGCTTTAAGGTTGAGGTGGCATTGGAGTTGTGGGTTGTGAGGAGCTTGCTGTGGGTGTGGGTGTGGGTGTTGGGCTGAGTGTGAGTGTGAGGAGTTGGGTTGGTGAGGTTCGTGGAGCTGTTGCATATGGTGTTGGTGATGTTGGTGATGGTGGGTTGGTTCGTTAAATTGGCGCGTGCTGAATTTTGTTGTAGTTTCTGCTGCTGTTGCTGCTTTTGGTTGTTGTTGTTGTTGCCGGCTACTGGTGTCGCCTCAAGTGGTCCTGCTTTGGATGCAACCACACACACCGAACCACCAACGATGTGGAAGTGTTTGTGCCCCAAATGTGTGAGCGGGTGTGTGGGTTTAAGAGTGTGTGTGGGTGTGTGTGGTGGGATTGTGTTAGGACAAGTGTGAGAGTGGGTGGTAGAGAAATAGTAATTAAGTTGACGCTTGCCAGAGAAGAGACGAAAAATAGCAGGAAAGAACAGAGCAACAAAGGCGAACCCCAGCGACCGACCAGCACAATTAAAATTCGCTCTTTGTGTGGGTTACGGATACGGCAAAAGGAGTATGGGGGACTGGCTGCCGCCCCACCATTTAATTATCAACGTGTTGCAGAAATGAGAATGGTCGGCCACACTTCCCTTTTTATTTAACGTTTGAGGTGTTGCAAAGACGGAACCAGAATGTATACTTTCTGAAAGGTAGCGGTAGGGATTGGTAGGGAGCTCAGCCTTGCATTTGTTGGTGTTTGAATTTTTTTGTTTTATATATTTTTGTATATATTTTTTAATATTATTTGATATTATTTTATTTTATTTTAATATTTATTATTATATTTTAGACATTTTTAAAGCCTTAAATATTTGGGGGGTATTTTTAGATTTTTTTACAATTCTGTGGGGTTTTTGTCCCCCAAAACGTGCAAGTGAAAATCCCATAGTGAAAACTCTAACAACAGAAATTCAGGGGAGGAATCAACCCGTACATTTTCCTTTTATTTGGTCACCCCTCCAGTTCAGGTTTCTACATGTTGCTTTTCATTTAGGTGTAAAGTGGCATTTCTTTGTGTTTTTTTCTGTGACAGCTCTGATGAAAACTCAGGTGCTACGAGGGGAGGGTTGTAGGTGACTGCTATTGGGGTCGTGGTTTTCTTTTCATGGTCTCGTTTTTGGTTTGGGGTTAAGTTCTCTCCAGCATAATCGGATTAAAGTATAAGTGTTCTGACTTCTTTAAGTTGTCGTGGGAGTTCTTGTGAGAAGATTAGTTGGAACAACAAAAAAAGGTTATATTTCAATTGCGTTCAAGCTGGTTTAATTGCTCAAATCATATTTATTTTAAAGGTTTTTTGGGTAAGATTTACAAAGGGACTTTTAGTGTTTCTATTTAAGGAATAGCAAAATTTATCTAGGGTCTAAAAATCTCTCCCTTTCTAATAGAAGCCTTCCTGAAATATAATCTAAATCCTAAACCCTAATGGCCTGAAAAAAAGGAACAAATTCCACTCTTCAAACCAATCAAAAAACACACGCGAGCATCCCCTCCAGTTTGATTTGTTGGCAATGATATATAAAACAGCTCCCAGGCATGGCACTTGAGTCGACTTAAAACCAATTAAGAGCGGCAAAAAATAATAAAAGAAAGCCTCTACCTCCCTCCCTCTGCGCCGAACAAAGCCAGGCAAGGATAACGGTTTAATTCTCACTTAATTGGAATTACGACTCGACGTCTACTTTTCGGTGGGGGCCACTCCCGGTGTCCTGCACGAATCGTGGTGTCGTGCCATGGGTTGCCACGGCCAGCAAGCGAGCGAGCGAGCTGCTTATGCCGGACACTCGGACACCAAACACTCCGAGGGGAACAGATTTCCAAGTGCCTGAGAGCGTTGCATTTGCATGAGTAGCCTGGTAAGTGGAGGAGCAGGATGGGGATGAGGAGCTGCCCTGTTTGGCGCCTCTAGATTGACATGAAATGCAATTACGGCCAAAAACTCCGGCAGAGAGACGTGAATCAGGGTAGCACCATGGGAGGGGGGACAGCAACGAAATGGCGGCCATAAATCTGCACCGAAAAATGTGTCGCTTAATCAAGACACACACACACAGACACACACATACTGATGCCATGGTTCTTCATAAGTTGTCGCCTGGGTTTGCCCCAAAAATGCTCGAAAGCTGCATACACCCAAGGAAAAATGTTGGTAGGGAAATAGATTCCAAGGAGATTATAAAATCAGTTTGTAATGGGTAGAGAAAGGCCATCGATCTTACTTCTATGAATCTGATAAAATGTTCTACTTCATTTTATTCGTGTTTGGTTATAACTAACATTTTTCATTGGCTGTACAGTAGAGTATCACTGTGCAGAACTGCCAACGAAAAATATTGGTAATGAGGAAATGTTTGCAGCCCAAATATTTCTAGATAGAACTAGCATGGTAAATTTTGGTAGGTATAAAAGGGGTAAAAGCTAGTCTTCCACGGGAAATGGTAAGCACAGAACAGCACTCGATGATCCCACCCATCCTCCCCATTAATTTACCCAATTTAAGCACTAACATTTTTCATTGGCTGTACTTACACTCGCCTGCACCATGTCCTCCTGCTGCTGCTGCTGCTGCGGACGGCATCACTTGATAGCTGTCGCCATCCACACCAATGGCACTTGTCACATGATAGCCATAGCCATTCGAGTGCTGGCTGCCGCCTCCGCCGCCACCACCGTAGAGCCCCAAAATGGCTTTCGCCGATGCTGCCGCCTGCGGCTGATGGTACAGTCCGCTGTGTAGAGCTTCGTTCTGCTGCTGTTGCATGTTCAGCTGCTCGTCAGGATCGTGCAGGGCCGTAAGGGTAAGCTCCATGCCACCACTGCCGCTGCCGCTGCCACCGTCTTGCTTGCTGTCCAAAGTGCCACTGGGATAATACGGCGGTGGTGGCGGCAGATTCGGTGGGTGCTGCTGCTGCTGCTGCTGCTGTTGGGTTTGCTGCGGGTCAGCCCCGGATGTTGGGGTATCATCCAGGTCGTACTCCTTGGCCCCAGGCCCCGTCCCTGTTGTCGTTGTTGTCGTTGTGGTTGTGGCATTGCCGCCGGCTGCTTGCTTTTTGGCGGCATGCGTGCGCCGGCAGCGACAAAAGGCGTAAAGCAAAGCCAAAAACACCAGAAAGGATAACGAAGCAATAACGATGGCCACCAGCGCCGAGGTGGTCATGGAGGAATTGTGAGGCATGTAGGATTTGCCAACTGTTTGAGGGTCGGAAAATGAGTGTAAAATTAGCGGGAATTTATGTGATTAAAGGGCGACTTTCCACTTACTTTCTGCATTCGCATAGGCGCCACAATGCTCGTGATTCGAGCGGAGACACAGCTTGACGCGTACCACGGGTCCCGGGCCTGCTGTCTCCGCTAGGGCCATTGTGCGATCTTCGCCCAGATGAGCTCCATTCCTGCCCGACGATGTGGCCGTTGTGTAGTGTGCCGTGCGTGCCATGTGATTGATGACAGCCTCCTTGAATGTTGTCTCACTGCCCGATGGCAGCAGCGTCAGGGTCTCGACAATCTCCCACATGGGCACCGTGGCCTCGCGCGTGACCAACGATTCGACGACGGCAATGAGCGACAGACATGTGGCAGCCACATTGATGCCCAGAACATGCGAATTTGGATCATAGCTGACATGCAGTGGCGGCGGGATCTTGCTGACTTTTGTGGTGGCCAGCACCTCGTTGGAGTACCCCGAAGTGCCCTTGGAGTTGAGAGCGTATACCTTGAACATGTAGCTCTGATGCTGATCGAGGGGCGCCAGCTTGCAGGGATTCTCGCGGAAACAGTTGAACTCAATCCACTCGTGGGCACCGACATTCGAGGAGCTGGACGACACCTGATAACTGGGTATATAGCCATGGCCCGAGCAATCCGCCAGCAATTGTTCCCGCGGTGTGGCCACACGGCGGTAGCTAACCAAATATTTGGTGCTCATAAAGCCACCATTGAAGCCCGGCAGCCAGGCCAGCACCGCATAATTGTGAGCCACTTCCAAGACCTTCAGATTCGTTGGCTTTTCCGGCTGTCCCTTGGGTTGTAGTTTGATGGGCGCTCGAATGCTATCCAAGGGATTGACAGCCCTGCAGATGTACTCCCCGTAGTCAGAGTGCTGCAGATGTGCAATCCGTAGAATGGAGGTGTAAATGTCATTATTTTCCATTCTTGTGCTTATCTCGTAATGTCCATCCGAGGACATGGTCAACGGTGAGGGATTGTTGCCAAATTGCCATTGAAATTCTGGCTTGGGATAGGCCTGTACACGACACACGACCTCAGCGGATTCTCGCATATCAAAAGCCACTTTATTATACTGATGAATGATGATGGGTTCGTGTTCAATCCGCAGATGCATCGAAGAATTCGCAGAGTTCACATCGTTCTCGTAGAGGCACGTGTACAGTCCACGATCGCTGGGCAAAAGTTGATTTCCATTTGGTCGTGCCTTGCCCCTGAAGCGGAGAATACTCTGAACGGCGACGACTCCACCGCCAGCATCTGTGGGTGTCGTCCGAATATCAAACATCTTCCTGGTGGGCAGTATTTCGGTGCCATCTTTGATCCAACGGATTTGTGGTGTGGGTTTGCCCTTGGCGCTGCACGTCACGGCATAGTCCACATCTCCGACCCGGCGCGTCATGTGCTGCTGCAGCTTGGCCAGAAATTGTGGCGGCTGATGCACCTCCAGGATAATTGTGGCAATCTTGCCAATGCCCAACTCATTCACCGCATGACAATGGTACTTGCCCTCGCTGCCCAGATGTGCTTTGGGTATGGAATACTGTGGTCCTTGAGCGAGAATCTTCTGGGTATTACCCACATCCCCATCCATGTCTCGGAACCAGCGATACTGCGGCACAGGCCAGCCTGGGGGATTGGCGGAGCAGGTCAGAGTCACACCATTGCCCACATGAACCACGGGCTTGTTGGGCGTAATGTAAGCCTGTCCGGGCCGATGACGGACCAGCAGAGCCACCGTAGAGTTGCCGACACCCTCGATACGCTTCGTGTTGAACGGTTGCATGATATTCACCGAGCGGCAAATGTAGTTGCCAGCATGCTCCGCCCGCACCGAGACGAGGGTCAGGAGCTCTCCCGTGTAGCGAAAATCGGGGGCACCTTCCTTCAGCCATTCGATTGTAATCGGAGGCGGATTGGCGGTCACATTGCAACGCACCAGAACAGTCTCCCCCTCCTCCGCCTCATGTGTCTTCGATTCGATGACAACAATTGGCGGATAGAGAACATCCAGAACGATGTCCTTCTCGCCTGTCTTGCCCAGGCCGTTGTCCGCACTGCAGGTGTACTTGCCGGCATGATGTCGATTGACACGATAGATTGTATGCACGGGCGTGGCACTCACATACTGCCCGTTGCGTGACCATCGCACATTGCTGACCATCGGCTTGGCATCCACACGGCACTCGAGTTTGGCAACATGATCGCGTTCAATTCGCATGGGGTTCTGTGGCCCCACCTCCACTCGTGGGTAATCTAGGAAAAAAGAGAAAAGAATGGGGGGTTTAGCATACAAAATAGTCAATTATTTTCTGGTTGTGGCTACTGGCTATTGGGCTACTGGTTTCTGGTTCGTTTGAGCCATTAACTTGCCAATAACCGTTTTCAATTACACGACAACGGTCCCAAAAACAACCCAAACAACAGCAGTCAAAGGACCTACACAAGTACAAGTACAAGTACAAGTACTTTACCCCCATAAAGGGCGCGGATGGTTGACGTTGACGAGGAGTTCGTTCAACAGCGTGACCCATCGACATTTTTAAATAATGCCAATTTGTGGGAACAAAAATATACTATGTATAGACGAGTGTTGGGGGAAATGGGAAATGAGCTTTGGGTTGTTGCTGGAATTAATTTTTTTGTGGCGTACAGTGGCTACATTTAGAGGTTTCCTAAACACAAATGTAGTTTGGAGTTGGAGTCTACATTAGAAAAGTTTCCATAAACATGTTAAGGCATTTTTGAAGATTTGAAATAATTATAAATATTGGTGGTGAATGAATTAAAACTCTTGCCATGAGAGAATTCATCAAAAGGATGAAGGAATTTGTAAGACTATTAGTTATCAATAGTTTTCGATAACGAGTAACAGGATTCTGTGACAGAAACTTTGTTTGGTGAATGATTTAAAGGCGTTGCTATGAGAGAATAATGCAAAAAATAATGTATTTCGTAGAGTTATTATAATTATTGATCATTTTTGTTACTTATCGGTAACGTATAAAGTATATCCACACGTCTATAGTCTCCTATATCCTGACTCGCATACATTCGTCTCCCTACTGTTCCAAATGTGTCTAAACATAGCAGAGGTTCTGCCCCGCACAGCCCGTGCTTCATTGCCCCAACACATTTCCACTCGACTTTTGCGCGTTTAGCTGTCCATTGTGTCCAGCGTTGGTCATTTGGTTTAAGTGCCGTTAGTTGCGTTCCGTATCGCATCGCATCGTATCGAATCGTAAAGGGGGTACATATTTCAGCCCCCCCCCGCCTAACACCCATCTGCTGGCCATTCAAGCGTGAGGCATAATAGTGGCTAAGTATAATTGTTGCTGTTGTTGTTGCGCCAATTAACTTTCGAACACTTTAGTTTAATCACCGTCTGCCTGCCGCCTGCAGACTCCTTCCACTCCCCCACACCCCCAAACCCAAACCCATTGCCCCTGCCCACACGCTGCCAACCATCAACATTCACCCAATTGTTTTTGTTGCTGCTGCTGCTGCTGCTGCTGCTGTCCCTGGCACTAATTCGTGAAGCGGAGTGTAATGTGCCTGCGTCATGGTCTAAGCTCCTGGAGTAGGAAAGAGCAGTTCCAGAGAACATGCCAACAAAAAAATATCAAAAAAAGAAAGCAAGGAGTGAATTTTTAGAGGGAACATTTTGAATACCCTTGAAGGATGAATTGAGTGGAATAACTTTAATACAGTTTTCATCTTTGTTATGAGTTATGAAAACCGATCTGGGGGGTTACATTTGTACTATATTCTGCACCTGCAATTGTGTACCCATACAAATGTGTGATACTGTAGCCTGAAGCTATCGAAAATAACGAAAGTTTGTGGGTTAGTCAGTCGAGGTCCGATCACAAATGCAGATAAGCCACGAATGCTTGGCGAAGGGAGGGTGAAAAGGGTCTGCATTGACGATCTGAGCAACAGAGCGGGGTGGCATTATGACGGAATTGTAACTGTTCGACCTGGCGCTCGCTCTCTCATCAACAACTCAACAACTATGCAGAAATTTATTTGTTTTTAATTTGTAGCGACGTCTGAGCTGGAGGAGCCTTTCCGTTTTCTATTTCTAGTCTTAATTCGCTTCTTCTTAATTTGTATTATCTTTTTAGAGTTTTCCTTCCTTGCAGCGTAACAATCTGCCATTCAAAATCCCAGTACCCTCTTCCTCATAGGGTATGCCACGAAAAAAATGCGTTATCCGGGACCCAATTACGCGTCGCCTCGAAACATTAAAGCCTAACTCCTAAATGAGGGGGAAATACACACACAAACACACACATACATATATAAATACGTGTGTGTGTTTGCTGGTGTGTGTAATTATAAAATAAAATTTAATGAGCAACGCTTGTCAGCAGCGACCAGCAGCAGCAGCAGTGCCCAGAGGGGGCCAGCAGAAGAGGCAGAGCAGGGAAAAATCAAGTTTGCATTTCAACACATGCTCCACACCTCACCCCACCCCACCCCACTTGGCCATTTTCATGCCCAGCCAGCCATGTAGTTTCACGCTGATGTCGGGGTGTTACCGGCACGCCCAACTACGCCCCCTAACTACCCCTACTACCTCATAAAAAAAAGAGCTAGAGAGGACCACGGCGCTCTGGCTGACATTTGCCATGAAGCTTGGATATTTTTTTTTGCAAACAAAAATATGAACAGAAAAATTCAAGAAAATTGGCAAAAAAAAAGTACTTATATTTCTTGGATATGCGGAATAAGGATTTAATGATGGCAGTTGGAAGACTTTAAGAGTATAATTACGGCAGAAGAAAATTGGGAAGATAAATTATGTAGAAAATAGATATAGAGATGAGGAAGATTTGGCATTTACTTAAATATCTTTCATTAATGATTATTAATTTAAAATAATAACACTCATAATGGATTACAATTTCTGATACAAATTATAATTTCTTTCAAAGAAATATTACAACATTTTGGGCTGTAAAACCATCAAAATGTTTTCTTTACTTTCCAACCAAAAGTGGTTCAATCTGAACTGACATTAATCTGTCAGATTCAATATTTCACATTAATTATATTTTTTTTTTGTAGAGAAAGAGTATTTTATATTCTCCCTTCTTGTTTCTTTATTCCTTCTGGAATCTATGTTTTGTTGTATGTAGCGTACAAATTTTTTTAAATGAGTTGCTGCCTGCCCCATGGGCTGGACCTTGTTCGCGTATATGCTCGCACGCCTACATCTACCTCTGGTATATGTAGCTCTCCGTGCTGCCTTCTTTCGCGCGGAGCCTTGCACATTGTGATTTTATGACCGGGATCCCTACATTAGTGCCATGAAATATGCGTTGCAAGCTGCACCTGGAAAAGCCATCCAACCATTCTGCCCGGCTGCCTGACGGCCCGACTGCCACCACCAACGAGATCCTGGCTTCCGGCTAGGCATTCGCGTTAAATAAAAATGAAACGTTGCGCATACGCCCGGCTGTGCCGGCCGTACGGTCGTACGCGTGGCCGTAACTTATGCCCGCTGGCCATTTTGTGCAGTGAAATTTAATTATTTAACCCGGAACTGGGACGCCGAACTGTTGTTCTTGTTTTTGTTGCTGGTTTTTGGTGCCAGAGCGCGCACTCCCCCCTGCCGGCAGCTGCTACAGCAGCAGCAGCAACAGCAGGAAGTATCACACACACCTCTGCCGGAGTTATTTTAATGAGTCGCGGAGTTTGTTATGTTGTGACTTTAAGGCTCGTTCCACTGGCGATGAATCTCTGGCAGTGATTGCTGTGTTTGGACTACAGTTGATGCCTCCTACCACTGAATCTTCCTGCCTGTTGCCACATCTCCCTGACTCATTCCGCTCCCTGACTCCTTGTCTTCTCTCCAAATTGAAAAGGTACAACAAACATTGGAGCGGTGGAACGGCAGAGCGTGTGGGGGGAGCTGCATCTGCCACTGCTGTCGCGTACGTGTCACACAGAACACGTCACGTGACTTCCGTCGCGCGTGCTGGCAACACCTCGTGTGCCACCCGCCACATGCCGCCCTGCACCTCATTCTTACTGCTCCTCATGCTCCCTGCCCATCCACGTACTCTCCTTGCTTCTGCCCCTCATCGCTTCACGTGCTCTCCTTCCTTCTGCTTGTTGTGACTCCACCAATCTGCAGCCACAACAAAAATAAATACCCAAAATGAGTAGAGGGATTCTGTCTGCCTTCCAGGGTTCTAAAATGGATAGAACGAGGATTCTTTTTGGGGTCAAAAAACGAGAAATTAACGATAGAATGAAGTCTGCGGCGATGGCCTGTATTTAACTAATAATTATGGAAAACAGCTAAAAATTTTTGTAAATTCTACTGAATATAAATATAATTATTTTAAATATTGAATAATGATATTTAAATGCTTTTATAATTGTATCACAATTTCTATTCTTGCTGCAATTTTATCGGCATACCCCTTTAATCTTTTTTTTACCGTTTTTAACAACAAAAATTAAATTCATTTTGTACTGAAATCGCTTTTTGTCATTTATTGTAGACTGTCATGCTGACCTGAAGAAATCTATTAAACAACGCTGCAGAAGAGCTGTAAGTATATTTTCCACTACCATTTACGTACTTCTGTGCATTTATTTTATATATTTCTCTTCTGCACTGTGCTCCGTAAATGGGGACATAAAATAAATCATCCAATGACTCATATAACATAACATTACACGCTGCACCTGCCCCGCCCTCTGCTTCTGCTTCTGCTGCTGTTTTTTGCGTGTGTGTAAAATCTTTTGTGCAGCAATCGAAGGGGTTATAAAAACTATAGCATCCTTTTTTTGAATTACAAAGAGGGTTCGCTCGGTAGGATGCACAAGCGGAGGGGAGAGTATAGTACTGTGTGCTACAGTCACTTTATTGTGCACTTGATTGCGCTTTGTGCAGTGGTCCATAGGTGTCATATGCTGCTGCTGCTGCTGCAGCTGCAGCTGCATGGTGGGAAATTAATTGAATTGGCTTTCGTATTCGTGACACACGTCCCGTACCGCTACAAAAACAAATGTGCTGAAGAGAATGTTCTCTCTGTGTGGAGGAGTCCTTTATAGCACTTGCGGTTGCACCGCACAATGCACTGCGATGATGATGAAGTCCCCCTCTGACCATTCCCTCCTCCCCGTGTTGGTTCAACCAAAAAGTGCAGTTAATTGAAATTCGGGGGCAAAGCAATTAATTTGCTTTTGTCACAAGAGCTGTTAAGCCGGCAGAAGGACCTCCACTCCACTCTACA